TTTGCTGGCTGCAGTTCTTTGACCAGCTTGACAATTCCAGATTCTGTTAGCAAGATTGGACGCGCGGCATTCTATGGCTGCAGCTCTTTGACCAGCTTGACAATTCCGAACTCTGTGACTGAGATTGGAGTCCAAGCCATCTATGGCTGCAGTTCTTTGACCAGATTGACAATTCCTGACTCTGTGACCAAGATCGGGGAGGCGGCCTTTTCTTACTGCAGTTCTTTGGCCAGTTTGACAATTCCAGACTCTGTGACAACGATCGGAGATGATTCCTTTTCCTACTGCAGCTCTTTGACCAGTTTGACAATTCCGAACTCTGTGACTCAAATTGGGCACCGGGTCATTTGTGCGTGCAGGTCTTTGACCAGCTTTACAATTCCGGACTCTGTGACTGAGATTGAGGACAGGGCATTTTATTCTTGTCGTTCTTTGACACATCTGGCAATTCCAAGCTCCGTAACAAATCTTGGACATGGAGCCTTTCGTGGCTGCAGTTCTTTGACCAGCTTGACCATTCAGGACTCTATAACAAAAATTGGGGACCAGGCCTTCTATAGCTGCAGTTCTTTGACCAGGTTGACAATTCCGAACTCTGTAACACGGATTGGGCATGGAGCCTTTTGTGGCTGCAGCTCTTTGACCAGGTTGACAATCCCGGACTCTGTAACCCAGATTGGACATGGAGCCTTTCTTGGCTGCAGCTCTTTGACCAGTTTGACAATCCCGGACTCTGTAATTCAGATTGGACATGGAGCCTTTCGTGGCTGCAGCTCCGTGACCAGTTTGAAAATCCCGGACTCTGTAACTCAGATTGGGCATGGAACCTTTCGTGGCTGTAGCTCTGTGACCAGTTTGACCATCCCGGACTCTGTAACTCAGATTGGACATGGAGCCTTTCGTGACTGTAGCTCGCTGACGTGTTTGACAATTCCAGATTCTTTGACTTGGATTGGAGACATGGCTTTCTGTGGCTGCAGCTCTTTGACCAGGTTGACAATCCCGGACTCTGTAACCCAGATTGGACATGGAGCCTTTCTTGGCTGCAGCTCTTTGACCAGTTTGACAATCCCGGACTCTGTAACTCAGATTGGACATGGAGCCTTTCGTGGCTGCAGCTCCGTGACCAGTTTGAAAATCCCGGACTCTGTAACTCAGATTGGGCATGGAACCTTTCGTGGCTGTAGCTCTGTGACCAGTTTGACCATCCCGGACTCTGTATCTCAGATTGGACATGGAGCCTTTCGTGACTGTAGCTCGCTGACGTGTTTGACAATTCCAGATTCTTTGACTTGGATTGGAGACATGGCTTTCTGTGGCTGCAGCTCTTTGACCAGCTTGACCATTCCGGACTCCGTAACTGAGATTGGGGACCAGGCCTTCGGTGACTGCAGTTCTTTGACCCGTTTGACAATTCCTGATTCTGTACCTCAGATTGGAAGTGGAGCCTTTGCCCCCACTGGTTGCACACTTCCGGGCTTTCTGACCAGTTTGACAAGTCTGGGTTTTGCTGGAGATGATGCCCATTTAGGTGAGGATAGCAGCCTGTAGTTCGTCGCGTGCCACATTTGAGCAGTTATTTGGCTGGGTGCAGCGCATTGGTAGGTTTGTTCCGAACTCTTTGGCTGGCAGTGGAGAAAGGACTCGAAGATTTCCTACCCATTCAGGGGGAACCTTCAAACTTTTTGAGAGTTGGAGGCTCCCTAACTGAGCAACACAATATGTGGACAGTCCAGTTGATTCACCTTTCCCAGACACGACTAATGGGACTGGCGTATTGACTGATCAGTTGGGGTGGTTGAACAGGGGTCAACGTATGTAAATATACCAGTCCCATGGGGTGTCTGGGATAGGAAACGGCCTCGGGGGTCCAAATGGCGCAGCCGTTCGGACGTTTCGCAGTGCCCTCTGGGCGCCCTGCTTGGCTGGCTGTTCTTTTGCCGCACGAATCCCGCATGGGATGGGGAACCCTTCCCCCAAAGCCACATGCGAGTTCGGATGGATTTGAGACACCCCTGAGAATGCAGGGTTTTTCCCTCCAAATAACCGCCTGAACTCCGTGGAGCAGGCATATCTGATTGGCCTGTTTGATGTGAGTCAGAAGGAACCTGTGCAGTTCAGTTGAACAGTTGGAACGAACCTGCAGCGGGTTCCAGTCTATAAGTTTGGAGGATTAAGATCTGCACTCAGTAGCAGTAGTAGTAGTGGTGGTGGTAGTGGTGGTGGTAGTAGTAGTAGTAGTGGTGGTGGTGGTGATTTTTGAGAAGCAAAGCGCTGAAACATACCAGGACCAAGAGAGGATATAGATATATTATAAGTTACCTTATCGATTTTGGGTTCCTCAACCTGTTGGTAGGTTAGGAACTGGTTTTGACCGTCCGCGCGTGAGCCTCGGATGGGTTGCAGGATGCGCCCTTTATGTTGAAGCTTCGCGATGGATGCCGTGTGGGGCTGATGGAGGATTTGGAGGGCTTCTTGCCTTGAAGAAAGGACCGGGGATGGCCAACGTGTGATGCTTTATTCTGGGCTCAAGGATGCTTGGGGTTGGAGGTCTTGTATGATTCCTTGACTTGACATGACCTGGGTCCTGGGCTTCCAATTTTTCCCGAATGCGTAGCGAAGGGTTCTCGTTTAACTCTTGGGGGTCTGGGGGTAGAGCTTTGTTCGCGACCCGTTGCTTCTATGTTCGCAACCGTTGGCAACCGTCCGCAACCGTTCGCAACCGTTCGCAACCGTTCGCAGTAGAGCGCTAAGGCGCTGCCATTGGGGGAAGCTTTTGCAAGTGACTTTTCATGGATGTGTCACGTGTCAGTTTGCGACGCTATTCCATTGTGATTTGCATGAAAATGACATGTCGCGCAAGAAGCGTGATGCATTTCGCTGCACAGGCGCAGCGTTTTGTGAGATCCTCAGTTTGCTACGCAGTTCCATTGGGATTAGCATTTGGAGAGTCGTGTTTTTGGGGTGTTGGATGTGGCCGTGCCATTGGGATTTGCGTTTCAGGGTGTGGCATCGAAGCTCTGTTTTCGTGACAAGTCTCAGCTGAAGTGGCGATTTTGGTGGATGGGAGTGTGCTCAGAACGGATCGAAATCATTCCAAACGTGTGGTGTGGTGCAAATTTTGTTGAAGCTCACATGAGATGATATTGTCACTTTTCGCGGCAGGCGCAGTACTTTGTGCGGGTTTTGAGGCATGGTAGTGTGATTTTCGTGGCAGGCGCAGGGAATCGTGAGGTTGCGAGGTGTGACGGAGGTGACATTGCGTGGCAGGCGCAGTACTTTGCGCGCGTTAGACGTGTGGACGCGGAAAGATGCGTGGCAGGCGCAGGGAATCGTGAGGTTGTGAGTTGTGGTAGAGGTGACTGTCGTTGTCTCATTGGGATTGGCGTGTGAGCGGGTGTTGTTTGGAGGGGCTGGAATCGCGAAACTGCTTGGCAGGGCTGCGTGATGTGTGTGCTCCGATGGGTGTTTCCGCTTGACTTTTGGAGGAAGTCTCGTACGAAACGCTCGTTTTGGAGACTTTGACACGTGAGTATTTGAGGAAGTCTCGTACGAAACGCTCGTTTTGGAGAGTTGACACGTGACTTTTGGAGGAAGTCTCGTACGAAACGCTCGTTTTGGAGACTTGACGTGTGACTTTTGGAGGAAGTCTCGTACGAAACGCTCCGTTTTGGAGACTTGACGCGTGACTTTAGGAGGAAGTCTCGTACGAAACGCTCGTCTTGCAGCCTCGAAGCGTGACTTTTGGAGGAAGTCTCGTACGAAACGCTCGCGTGACTGCTTCTAGTGTGCAGACCGTGTCGCGACACGAGTGTCCCACAAGAGTGTCCCACAAGAGTGTTCCACAAGAGTGTCCCGCAACCGTGTCCCACAAGAGTGTCTCACAAGAGTGTCCCTTAAGAGTGTCCCACAAGAGTGTCCTATAAGAGTGCCCCACAAGAGTGTCCTACAAGAGTGTCCCACAAGAGTTTCCTACAAGAGTGTCACACAAGAGTGTCCCACAAGAGTGTCCCACAAGAGTGTCCTACAAGAGTGTCCTACAAGAGTGTCCCACAAGAGTGTCCTGTAAGAGTGACCCACAAGAGTGTCCTACAAGAGTGTGTCACAAGACTGTCCCACAAGAATGTCCGACAAGAGTGTCCCGTAAGAGTGACCCACAAGAGTGCTTTTGAGAGTGTCCCACAAAGAGTGTCCTACAAGAGTGTCGCGCAAGAGTGACCCACAAGAGTGCCCCACAAGAGAGTCGAGTGCCCCACAAGAGTGTCCCACAAGAGTGCCCCGTAAGAGTGGCCCGCAAGAGTGTCCTACAAGAGTGTCCCACAAGAGTGTCCTACAAGAGTGTCCCGCAAGAGTGTCCTACAAGAGTGTCCCAAAACAGTCCCCCCCCAAGAGTTTCCTACAAGAGTGTCCTACAAGAGTGTCCCACAAGAGTGTCCCAGAAGAGTGTCCCGCAAGAGTGTCCTACAAGAGTGTCCCGAAACAGTGCCCCGCAAGAGTTTCCTGCAAGAGTGACCCACAAGAGTGTCCTACAAGATTGTCCCACAAGAGTTTTCCACAACAGTGGCCTATATGAGTGTCCCACAAGAGTGTCCTACAAGAGTGTCCCACAAGAGTTTCCTACAAGATTGACCCACAAGAGTGTCCTATAAGAGTGCCCCACAAAGAGTGTCTTACAAGAGTGTCCCACAAGAGTTTCCTACAAGAGTGTCTCACAAGAGTGTCCTACGAGAGTGTCCCACAAGAGTGTCCTACAAGAGTGTCCCACAAGAGTGTTCCACAAGAGTGTCCTATAACAGTGTCCCACAAGAGTGTCCCACAAGAGTGTCTCACAAGAGTGTCCCACAAGAGTGTCCTACAAGAGTGTCTCACAAGAGTGTCCTACAAGAGTGTCCCACAAGAGTGTCCTACAAGAGTGTCCCCCAAGAGTGTCTCACAAGAGTGTCCTATAAGAGTGTCCCACAAGAGTGTCCTACAAGAGTGTCCTACAAGAGTGTCCCAGAAGAGTGTCCCACAAGAGTGTCCTACAAGAGTGTCCCACAAGAGTTTCCTACAAGAGTGTCCTACGAGAGTGTCCCACAAGAGTTTCCTACAAGAGTGTCCTATAAAAGAGTGTCCCACAAGAGTGTCCCACAAGAGTGTCTCACAAGAGTGTCCCACAAGAGTGTCCTACAAGAGTGTCTCACAAGAGTGTCCTACAAGAGTGTCCCACAAGAGTGTCCTACAAGAGTGTCCC